AATATCATCTTTATACAGGGCATTCTCGTTGAAGGTGACATCTCCACTTCTGATAACCTTCTTGTTGTGGTTGTCCCAGAACCTGTAGCCCATGTCATCCAGCCCGTACCCAATAAAGATACATTTCTTTGCCTTTGCCTCGAGCTTGTCACTATTTGCATCTCTAACTTTGACATAAGAAATACAACAAAAAACTTTCAAGTGATTAAGAGATACCTCATGACCTTTCCATTCCTCCTCTGGAATTTTGAACCTGTAAGGAATAAATGTATTTAGATTTTGATGATGCTAGGTTAATTAGAATTTGAAAGTACCCCATTAGAAAGTTTGTATTAGAATTTCTTTTGTAAGTTTTAGCTTAGTCTGTCTGCCAGAGATGCACCTTGCTTCTACCAGAGTTGCTCACCAGAGAAGCAATCAGAACTGGTTATCTGTGTTGGTACCAGAGTTGGCAACAGAGGCGGACTTCAGAGATTGTACCAGAGAGCCTCATAAGACTCTGTCTAACACACCAGATTCCGAAAACACTTTCCAACGGTCGTTAAACTAACGGGAAATCCCCTAACGGTTACGAACCTTTCAACGGAAACATGGTACTGTACACGCATTAAATGCACATTTAATGCTGTACGTACGAAGAGATATTTAAAGCTGATGATTGACCATGCGGGTATCTTCATGCCCCCAAAATAGCAAGTCGAAGGTCCAACCGGTCAAGTCAACAGTACAAGCATTTAATGAAGCTGTCTTCTACACTCCAACGGGAAGACTGCTCCCAGTATATAAGATACACTATGAAGAACTAAGAGAATAACTTTGCTACAACATCTACCAAACGAACTTGCTCAGATTATTCAACTCAAATACCTCAAAGCCTTCTTGAGATTCAAACATCATTCTTAACAAGAAAAGGCTACAGTTGGAAGATACATTTTCTAATCCCTCATCCAACTAGCAAGTTGCAAAGTTCCTCAGTTCTTCAACACTTCGAAAGCTTCATATACTCATCCTTTGTGAAGAAGCCACGTTGGAGAAAACTGATTTTGAATCAAACACTTCTTGAAAAAGAAGGGACGTCTCAAACAAGCTGGAGTAAGTGAAGTGGGGATACTTCAAGAGACTCAGTGAAACGAGACCAGCCATCAGGAAGCAGGACTGCATCCCGGGTGGCAACTAGACTTGAAGAAGACGAGGAGTGCTTCTTAAGTTCTAGGGACTAAGGCGTTGTAAACTGTTGTTTTTGCAAGCTTAGTGGAACCCTAGAGGAACAAGTTGTTCCTTGAACCACTATAAAAACCCCGGTGTCATTTACTTTAAGCTTTTAATTCCCGCACTTAAGTTCTACTGATTAACTCCTAAAGTTGGACTCTATGTCCAGCAGATCTTCTTTCAGAGTTATCAGAAAGGCACTTTGCCTTAGCATTCTTCTTGAGGCTACCCGGACAGAAACTTATCCGCTGCCTGGTCTAGTTTTGCCATCAGAACCTGACCATCTCTGTCACCAGATTTCGACCATCTCTGATAAGTCAGTTTTGACTTAGAGAAAAGTTTAAATTCCTGAACAGTCTATTCACCCCCCCCTCTAGACTGTTCCCATTACAAACGGGACCAACAGAACCCTATGGGAGATGAGGGTCCTCTGTTGATCAAGTACGCTGTTGTGTTCACTGCATCGGCCCAGAACATCTTTGGAAGTCCTGCATGTAATCTCATGCTCCTGGCCCTCTCATTCAGTGTTCTGTTCATCCTTTCTGCAACACCATTTTGTTGTGGTGTTTCTGGAACCGTCTTCAGCATTCTTATCCCCTGTTCAGCACAATACTCTACAAACTCTATGCTACTGTACTCACCCCCATTATCACTCTTTAAACACTTAATTTTAAGATTAATTTCATTCTCAACTGCAGCTTTGAACTTCTTAAAAGTGTTAAAGACTTCAGATTTATTTTTAAGAAAATAAACCCATACCTTCCGTGTAGAGTCATCAATGAATGTAACATAGTAGCGGGAACCTCCAATTGAAGAGACCTTTGTAGGTCTGTAGACATCTGAATGAATCAACTCCAACCGCTCAGTCTTGGGTTGTTGCCCTGTCTTCACAAAGGTTACCCTCTTTCGTTTACCAAGGACACATGGCTCACAAAAGCTCAACTTTGAATTCTTCAAATCTGGGATTTTACCCTTTGAAGACAGCATCTTCATTCCATTCTCACTTATGTGCCCAAGTCTTTGGTGCCACAAAGTAAAGACCCCTGCATCTTCAACTGCTGCGTTTGCTCCATCTGTAGACACTTCTACCATGTACAGGGTACCATGCTTCTGTCCACGAGCAATGACCAGCTTTCCCTTTGTCACCTTCCATTGCTTGTTGCCAAAACTAACGTTATGGCCTTCCTCATCAAGCTGTCCCACTGAGATCAACATCTTCTTCAGATCTGGAATATACCTGACATTTTTCAGCCTCCAGGTTGTACCCAAAGTGGTACTGAGATCAACATCCCCAATACCCATGATCTCCAGGGATTTGTCATCCGCCAAACGAATTCTTCCGCTGCAGGGCCTGAAATTTTGCATCAAATCCCTGCAATGACAAGCATGAAACGACGCACCTGAATCCATGATCCAGGACTCAATTGAATTCTCAACGCTGCAAATGAGGATATCTTCATAATTCTCTGCCACGTTCACCTCCTTCTTGCCTTTGTCTGCAGAGGCTTTGGGGCACGGATTTCTGAAGTGTCCATTCTCCTTGCAATTCCAACAATTGATGCCCTTCCTGTTCTTGGATTGACCTCTCTTCCTCGACTTTGATCTTCCTTTCTTGTTACCTCCTTTAGTGGATTTTCTGCCCCTATCTTCAGTACTCAACAAACTGTTTGAGCTAACCCCGAACTCCTCCTCCGGATATCCTCACCAAGGATCAAGTCACGAATACCCTCAAAGGTAAGTTTAGTGGTTCCAGGCGAACTACTAACTGCTGTGACTGTACCGGACCAACTATCGGGCAAAGATGATAACAAAAGTAATGCTTGAACTTCATCATCAAATTTAATCTCAACCGAACCTAACCTGGATATGATTGAATTAAACTCGTTGACGTGATCTGTTACGGCTGCACCTTCCTTCATTCTCGTGTTCACCAACTGTCTGATTAAGAAAACCTTGTTGGCCACTGAGGGTTTCTCGTACATGTTGGATAACGCCTTGAGTAGTCCAAACGTTGTTTTCTCGTTGACGATGTTGTAAGCAATGTTTTTCGCCAACGACAACCTCACCACACCAAGAGCCTGCCGATCCAGCAAGTTCCACTCTGCCTCCGCCATTGATTCTTGTTTGTTCTCAGACAAGGGTAGATGAAGCTTCTTCTGGTAGAGATAATCCTCGATTTGCATCTTCCAAAAAGCAAAATCTTGACCATCAAATTTATCGATCTTAACCTTCCCTTCGTCAGCCATAGCTCTGATACCACTTGTTACTATTTAGGTTAAGTAAACGATAAATTAAAGAGCAAGAACACAAGAATTTACGTGGTTCACACAATCGGGGTGATTGTGCTAGTCCACGACGAACGAGAGAGAGTTGTGTATTATTATGTCAGCGTCAAGAGGTATTACATGTACAAAGATGTGTTTAAATAGGTTTAAGAAAAACCTAAACAAGGATTAGAGCCACAGGCCCAAAACTAAGCGCGTAATTAAAAATTACTCCGCAGACCTGGTCGGGTCTCCTCTGGTACCCGGTCGGGTGTCTCCTCAAAAGGCATACCCGGGTCGAAACCAGGGCGGGTATCCTAAACAGAGGCCAAAACCTTCCACGGACCCGGTCGGGTAAACCTCCTTACCCGGTCGGGTTTCCAAACCAGTGAGTTTCCCGGCCAAGTTCACATCATACCCGGTCGGGTAATTCTCCTTACCCGATCGGGTTTCCAATCCAGAGAGTTGACCGGCCAATTTCAACATCATACCCGGTCGGGTAACCCAACGTACCCGGTCGGGTAACTGTTCTAACATTCAGAACAAGGCTCCATCCTCAACACTGAGGTCCAACACCAGGTTCAAGAACCAGGCTTTCGATTCATGACCGGGCTCTACCATGCCCGTTTCTTCGGACACCCGAGTCTGTACTGCCAGCCCAGTAGCTCGGTTGTAAATTGTACTATCTAGCTTATTACTTCCTCCATTTGTAGATTGTACTCTTTGTTAGGTGGACTTTCTCATTATTTTTACTATTTAAATAGTTACTTTTATAGTATGTTTGGGAGTTTGGAGGGAAGGGGATGTGAAGGTTTTAAAGGTATGTTGTTGGAGGGGAAAGGGTGGGGAAGGTGATGAAACCCTTTGTATTTGGGGGTAATAAATGTGGAAGAAGAAAGTTTTTGAAGAGATTATAATTAAAATCTCCATGAGATATGATAAATTCAAATAATTTAATTGATATTCATTTTGAAGTAAGTTTAAATTATCATTTCATTAATTACCCTTCAAAACCCTCCAAATTGGGGGAACTTAAAAATTGAGCATTTAGAGGGTTTTGGAGGGTTACGAAAGCTCTCCAAAACCATCCCCTTCAATTTCTTAAACTCCCAAACATAAAAAGGGGGTCATAAACCTCCATAAACCTCCCTCCCCTCCAAAACCAACTCCCAAACACACCCTTAAGGATTTAGAAACACAACCTTCACATTTATTTCTTGAGCTATATTAACATTTCTGTCAAGAAATGTAAATTTTGCAAGGAGACTAAAAAAAGCTATCTCAACTAATTATCATCTCATCACTTATTCAATATTGAGCATTTGAACCTGTGCCAACACTATAAGGTCATGTATGGTAGAATGTAGTGAAATCTAGTTGAACTGAGTAGAATGCTGGCTATGAATTGATTACATTACATTGAATTTTAGCTTACCAAACGTAGCACAAATGTTTACACTGAAGCAAAGAGGTTTTACACCTGAATTATATGCTGGTGTGCTAAACAAATAGATGAATCATCTTTACCAAATATATTTATTTATTCGTATCTTTCTGGTAGCTTAAAACAATAAATTCAGGTGACTCTTATTTTATTGAACATTCCTTATTACAAATTACAAATAGTTCTCACTTTAATAAATTGGAAGATAAGGCAGCTGATTTACTTACATGACCTGCGCTCTTAAATTTTCAAATAATTAAATAAATAAATAAATAAAATTACTATTTTAACATTTCTTATATGCTGCACACAAAACTGATGATCTCTGCATATGTATTGAGTAAAAAATGACTTCTTTTTTGAACTTCACTGATATCATTGTCTCCTTTACCTAATTCCTCATTTTGATCCGAGGTTCGGAAAGTACATACTCCGAGCTGGATTTCTTTCTTAGAACTGATCTGTTTTTACCATAAGAACTCTTTCCCCTATAAGCATCTTCTCTTTCCAGTTTAGTCTTTTTCTTACTTAACATAATATCTTCTTCTTTCTGGTGCTGCTTGGCTGTGGATTTCCTGGAGTTGTCTTTCTCACCTCCAGACTTGAGTTTATCCTTCCCATGGACTCTTTCCAAGCTTTGACAGATTTCGTGATAAACGGGGCCTGAAGAAGCATCAGAAGCCATAGAGTCATCACTATCAAAATTCTTGCTTCTCACCCTGACTTTATTGTGATGATCATCATAGTAGTCTTCTTGGTCATCATCATCATCATCATATGCATGGTTGGGAGAACCAATATACATTGTCCATCCAGATTCATTGCTGCTACACTTTTCTGTTTCTCCAGAAGGATCCATCAACACCTTCTACAGGAACTGATAGGGTATATAAGGCTATATACACACAAATCTACCCTTACTAGATCTTCAAGACTATTTGTTGATAGAGTTTGGAGAAACTCTCATGCATGGAGTTAAGTCATGCTTCACATGAAACATAGTTGTGTTGCAGAACCATAAATTCTCTGACTTTTTATATATGCAATTTGCAAACACAGCTCCAATAGAGCAAATAAACTAGTCCCACAAAAATAACATAACCTTAGTGTCCCCCCCACCCCACCCACCCCCTTTATTTTGATAACTTTGGTGGCTGGCTTTGTTTTACTTAAAATATGCCCAGTTTATTATTGTGTACTAAAGTGTTCAACTGATATAAAAAAATGCTGAGGTGTGTACTATGAATTTTTTTTTGATTTGGTGATTTTTAATTTGGCATTGAAGGTGTTGGCATAATATTCTTAAACAATTAAAATAAATGACCATGCAGTAAAATTCATTTATAGAGCAACTTAAGTCCACATCTAAGATGCTTTCAGCCTACAAAACCTCAACTTTTAACAAAATTAGAGTTATTTAGCACCTAATTGGTAAGGGCTATTTGGTTGAATTGTCAGAAAGGGAAAGTGTGGTAAAATCCACTACAACCAAAGACACTTTTTATCCGTATCATAACACAAAGTTTATATTCACATTTTACCAAAAAAAAGTTATATTCACGGTTCCAAGTTCCAATACGTTACTTCCACCGTTTCTATTATATCTTCCATTTCATTTTGGCACACAATTTAGGAAAAGTGGGTATTGTGTGGTGAATCACAAATTCTTTACCAAAAAGGGAAAGTGAAAGTTTAATTGGAACTGATGAAAAAGGAAAGTTGGAAGATATAATAGGAAAGGAGGGAGTATAATAGTTATTCCAAACTGGCCTTAACAAAGAACAAGAAACTTAGGTGATCTGGTTTGGAAGTATCGTTGGCCACCTGTGACTTTTAAAGCTGTTTTGTAAAGCCATTATAACTCTTTTTTTAACCAAAACTGGTCCATAGTATTCTTTGCTGGCTCTGCCGACCTCATAAATATTCAGCTGCTTTAGACAGCCCCACTCAACTATTGGGAAAGAAAGTAAAGAACAAAAATCACCAATGATCTTCATTTGCTAAAAAGAATACTTCTACATCACTCTCTTAATTACAAGAACCTTTTATATATTTCATGTCTTTATCATCCCACCAAGGCCAGTAGACCACCACCCCTTTGATGTTGAAACATGCAGTGAATCCAACTTGTTGGTGGTTCTCTACAAGTTTTTTTTAATATGTTAAAGTTGAAGAAAAGACTCATAAAAGCCACCTTGCTACTGTTATTCTACTCTATTTTTTTGCAGTCTTTATGATCATAAACCAGGCAAGTGTTTTTTATGGTAAAAATACATGAAAACTTCACTGTTCATATTGAGTTTGTCATTACAACATAAAGTAACTGGATTATTTAAACTTGTTGCAGGAAGTAGTTGAGGTAGATTTGTGGTTACAATTTGAACATAAATGCATCTCAGTATTATTTATCTGCTGTTTTTCTCTGTGTGCAGTTATTTATGGTAATTTTGACACATGAAGTCTAATCCATGGTCCCATGCAACATGGGTGAAAGAAAACAAACGAACTTTACCTTTGAGATAGGACAGACATATCACTGCCTCAAACTGAATAAGTTTGAAATGGTAGTTTTCCATTAACTTGGCTGTGCACTAAAGATAGTTAAATTTGAACAGTAAAATTTATCATGTTTGGCTTATTATCTGTTAAGAGTAGACAATGTTTGTTCCTATATATGGTAATTAAATCATTTTTTATATTGAATCTTTGCATCTCTATGTTCTCTATCCTGGGCTCCATGTGGTGATGTATCTTGGAACTTAAAAACAAAATACAAGAGGTCAATAATTCTTTTGATAAGGGATGTTGATTAAACAACTTTGTGTTTGGACCATGGGTTTCATTATGTCAATCACTATCATGAAGATTGTTATGTGCCACGTATGCAACAGATTGCGGTACAGCAGGTAGTTAGTTAATCAGGCTTAGGAGGAAATTAGTGAAACTAATTGAGGCACATAAGGGTGATTCCTGATTCGGATTCGGGTTCCGGATCCGTTACGAGACTATAACTAGGCAGGTAGCAATGAGTAGGGCTGGTTGCTCGTATTTTCGGTTCCAGATCATATCAGAATCATTATTTAGAATGGTTCTGGTTCTAATTATGGCTCCTTCAAAATCGGACAAGAGCTGACCGGTTCCGAGTTCGGTTCCCGCTTTTATTATTTTTAATTTGTTCTAAAAGTGGAATAAATTTTGTCTATAACCAGAACTAGTTTAGAACCACAACCCGACCAGACCCAGATTCTATGGTTTTGGTTAAAGTTTCCTTATTTTAGGACCATGAACCCGCTCGTCCGGGACCGGAACTGGACCACACTTGGGTCGCGTCCACCTTAGCCCGAAATATGAAAAGGTCAAGAACAATGTTAAAGGTGTATGTAAGACTAAAAGTTAAAAAGACACCCCAGACAATATTCTTAATACAGTTATCCAACATTATAGGTTAGAAAAGAACATATAAACATAACTAATGGTTGTTAAAAAAATTGGGCCCCTAATTTTTGGAGGCACATGACAGTTGCCACCCCTATCCCGTCTCGGGTTTCGGCTTCCGACTATATAGGGAGTGTTTCCGCAAAAAGGTTGAATCACCCGGCCCAACGGTTTGTCCAAGCCGGTCAAAAAATTATATGGGGTGGAAGTTAACAACTACCGTAGCAGGCGAAACCATAAAACCTGATAATAACAGGATGTGATGGATTAATCAAGGTTAGCACAAGTCTTAATATGAAAATTGGGCATCTCATGTGTAATGATGTGGACACATCACTTGAATTAATGATGGAGATTTTTGGTCCATTAAGTTTCATGTGGAAGCCTTAGAGACAAATCATCTATTATCATTTGTTAAATGACTAAATCCTTAAAATGCAGTGGCTAGGAAACATCCCTTTGTCTTGAGAGACAAAGAACAGTCAGCTCCTGATAAATTACTTCAAAAGGTGTAGTTTGATGCCCTCTTCATCTAAGCCTTTTGGTCATATGATTACATATTATCCAAATTCTATCTCTCAATGATTAACAATGACTAATCCATGAGAGCATGCAATTAAGAATTAATGTGGGCTTTGAGTTTTCTGGGAAAATAAGCATCTAGCCTATAATCTATATGGCTGTATCATTGATATAACAGCTGGATATTCTCCTAATATCATATGCCAAACATGACACAACACCACACGAGAATAGCTAGATCGACCAGGCTGTTCAATGTGCATGGCTATGAGCCTATGAAGCCAGGTTGTTTGTCACACAATCACTAATTACGTTTCCTAATTAAAGTCTCTTTTATCATTATAATCATCGTTATCATTATTGTCATATAAATCTAGAGAAGAGAACCCCCGTTTGAAAATGCGGTGAAATAGTCGAATTTGTTAACTTTTAGGTTGTGACTTTGTCACACCCGTTAAGGATAAATGGGAGAATTTCTCAAATAGGACTAAATGAAACTTTAATTGTCAATATAGGACTATAACTTCAAAATTCCCTAAATAGGACTAACTTTCCCATTCTACCCTTGCTTTGTTGTATACAATTCATATTTCATTACTAATTAACATATAATATAAAAGTAATAACATAACTTTATTTATAATGAAAATGTAAAAAAAATAACAACACCAAATAAATATTAAATAAATTATTAAAAATAAAAAAATCGAAAAAAAAAATTAAAATAAAAAAATATATTATAAAATTAAAATAAAATAAATAAAAAATGAAAATAGATAAGAAAAATATGCAGGCCTATGCTGCCACCTCAGCAACCTCCCAGTACCATCAGCTTCGATCACTGAAAAAATGCCAACATTTTTCAGAAATGCCATCTTAATGGCAGTTTTCGATAAAATTTTGACATTTTCAAAGAGTAAAAATGTCATCCTCATGACATTTTCATAGGACAAATGGGAGTTTTTTCACAAAATGGCATTTTTTAGCCAATCAGGTGAAACTTTGCTGGGCAGTGCCGCAGTGGGTTACAGACACTGTGGGAAAGGTCTCCGTAATTTTTTTATTCTTTTTAAGGTGTTTTATCTATTTTTTTATTTATTTTTAAAGTTTTTATTTTTTTTTTAATTTTTATTATTTTCGTATTTTTTAAAAGTATTTTATAATTTTTATATTTTTATGATTTTTTTGTATTATTTTTGTATTTATTACAAAATAAAATATGATTATCTTATTAAGTTATGTAAGCGTATACTAGGAAGATAGAGTATACTTTGATCCTATTTTGGTAAGATAAATAAAATAGTCCTATTTGTGCATTTAGGGATTAATTTAGTCCTATTTAAGTCTATTATCTCAAAAATCACATCACTTTAATTAAATGAATTTAATATAATACCCGAGACATGAATTATGTGTTGGTGAAATATGACCGGATAAACCTGCAACCCAGATCAGAGCAGACTTAAACAGAACAGACTTAAACAGATCAGACCAGACTTAAACAGACTAGACCAAACCAAACTTGACCTCCGTAGTTATAAAATTCACAGAGACCAGACATTTACCAGACCAGACCAGACTTAAACAGACCAGACCAGACCAGACTTAAACAAACCAGACCAGATCAGATCAAACCATACTTAAACAGACTAGATCAGACCAAAGCAGCAAATAACCGTCCAAGTAAAACATCCTTAATCCAAAACAATATGTGGTTGTACAAATTTTCTGTTAGTAAAATTTTGGTATGAATATATTATATTCTCCTTACCCTTACGAGCAGCGGCTCAAAAAATTGAAACAAGATAATGATACTATGATAGTAGTATTACTATACTAATAAATATAATTAGTGTATACACACTTATCTACTTCTAGCGAGGTAAAACCATGAGAAAATAACACTTCATCAAAAAATTTCATTCCATTGTTTAGGAGCTTGTTTCAAACTATATCAAAATTTGATTAACTTACACACTTTGCGTTCTTGATGAATAAAAAGTTTGTGGATAGAAGCCAAGACAATTAAAGTTCGAATGGAAGAAATATGCGTTAGCGGTGAAAATGTGTCAAAATAATCAACATCTTATTTTTTGAGAAAGAACTTTTGTCACAAGCCCCGCTTTATATTTGTCAATTG